CTATAACTGTTTTCATATTTGCTATGTTAGTGTTGTGTGTTTTTTTCTTTGTTTTCAACATGTTGATGTTCGCCACGTGTTGAACATTCGCCACGTGTTGAACATTCGCCACGTGTTGAACATTTGAGCTCTTTTTAATTTTACGTTTTACAATCTCTGACCAGTCAGATTGCTTGCTCGATTCGGTCTTGCAATCGGATTGCTGCTTTCTTTCTACTTTTGGGCTATTGTTAATAGCCGCATCATTTACTATTTCTCGGAAGATGTTTCTTTCTTCAATAAATAGTTCTTCTAATTTTTTTAACTTTTCGTCAAGAATTGACTCAAATTTAGCTTTTTTGAGCTTGGAATTTTAAAAAGGTTGAGAGCAGCATACTGAGGCAATTTGCTTTCAATTTTGTTGCTCAGAATTGTTTTTATTGTTAGTATTAAATCACTAACCTTGTCCTTTTTAGAGTTTCCAGAACTGTTTGGCTTTATTTTATCATCTTTTTCTAGATTTAACGCATCTAGATCGCTGGTAAGTATTTTTTTTGCTATTCTAATATCTTCACAATTGTAGAAATCCATTATTTCGTAAATGAATTCCGCATCGTCAATTTTGTCAGAATTATTAAATAAATAACACAATAACTCGTTAATGCAAACCGCTCGCGACATCGTACCGGAAACGTATGTATGTATGTAAGTATCAAATCAAATCAAATCAAATTATATATATTATATTAACAATTTCATTTTATGCTAATTTATTAATAATTCTCGTTACATTATCAGAACACTGAAAAGTTATTTTAGGTTACACGGTGCCTACAAGAATTAATTTTTTTTTGTCTCCGAATCATTCATACTTTCTGTGTTGTTTGATTGAATAAAAATGATTTTATTCGATATATATATATATATATATATATATATATATATATATAATACACACACATATACAAATTTATACAGTTATGAGTTTAACCATGGATGTTTCTACGTTTAATTTTGTTTTAAACCCTCCTAACTTTGGGTGAGTGTATAAGGCCTTCAACCTTTTTTAGGGTTCTATTAATATTTCGAATAATTTCGAACAATTTAAATGAATTTTTAAAACGGTAAACAACTGTTCTGCAGTTAGGTGCTAAGGTGGTTATGCTTAGAATGCTGCCGTTCATCAACAAAATAATGTCTATTTTCACGGATACTCCTATCTCAATCCGGATTTAATGTCGAAATGGATTCGGAAAAAACCTTGGATTCAAAAATCTGTTTTCACTCTCTTTCTCTCTCTCTCTCTCTCTCTCTCTTCCTCTTTTCCTTTTATTAAATGGCGGAACGTTAGATTATTATTAACGAATTTATGTGTTTAGTAAATAATAATTATATAATTAAGATGGCGAAACGTTTTTCTCTAACTGGACTTTATTATGATGAAGAAGTTGTTGCTGCTGTTGGAGTTTCAAAAAACGAAGTGCAACTGCTTACAAAAGGAAGCTAAAGGAATGAATTTGTCGAAAAATATCAGTTTCGCGGAATTAGCAACAGGGATAACTTTCTCGAATGTATCTCACTCACGAAAGTGCTGAAGTGGAATGGTTTTCTCGATAAATGTTCCAATTTCTCCAATTACCTTGCCTAGAATTTCAAACACTGTTAATAAGGCGAGCTGCAATTTGGAAAATATTAGAAGCGACATTGAAGCCACGGTTCTTAACCAACTAAGGACCGCGCATAATTCCACTAATCAGAAAGTAACCAAATTTTATTTACAAACTCATTAACATACAATTAGAAGGAAAAAACAAAATTTGTTAAAAAATTTTATTTGGTGAAGCTGTATAAAATAATGCAAAAACGCAACAGTAGTACTTCTAAGGCAAAAAAAACTATGAGAATCGTCAAAACATTTTGAACATTGCAATTTTTACAACATGTAACAGTCTCACTGTGACAGTGTATACTACCTTTTCTTCTTTTTCTATATTTGCTTGAATAACGCGACCAGTTTTTTCCTTTTTGGTTTCATTCAATGCCAATTTTTAGATGGAAGATGTCCATCCTGGAGCGATTTGGCGTGCTAATCTTACTTTTTCATTGACTGCTAGTTCATCAGATGCTGTAAAAAGCGATGTAACTAAATTTTTTTTTTAATCCAGCAACAAAATTTTTCGCTCAACTGCTGTACGATACAATCTCCATGAATTAGATTTTACTACGCCAACGAAATTGGTGAAAAGTGGCCAACACACCTTATTTTCTTTATATATATATTAAAAATGGATGCAAACCTGTCTAAAAGATCATATTTATGTTGAGAAATAATTACTTTTTTTTCTAAAAAACCTTAAGTCGTCATTTTCGCCTCAACATTCCAAAGAAAGAAATGTTTAATAATTTACATTTTTAGGGACATGCTGACGTCACCGTGTGGAACTGAAAGAGCAAACTCTAAATTCCCCAACAACGATTTTAATCATAATTTTTTAAACTATTTTTCGAAAAATAATAATAACAGTATTGTTTTATTTTAGTGGTTTAATTGTTTTTCAACTAGGAGAAAAATAAATTAAACAGAAATTCCTGCTGAATTTTTTCAAGAAATATAAAATAATGTCGCGAAATCGCAACGGTGGTCTCTAATGGTAACATACAACAAATAAACACACTCTAACCGTGCAATACAAAACACGCGTCTCTAGTTGAAACTACGGCTACTTGCTAGCTGTAACCTGCTGCACAACTGTGTAAACTCAAACAGGCGGTGCAAAAGGCATCGTGTGAGCTGGCAGCAGAGTTGCTAATTTCAGCTCTGCCAGAGTTTGACTGAATGACGACATAGTAGAGCTTGGATATTATACATAAGTAATTGATAGATGATTACAGTGCAAGAAGTGTAACGATTATTTAAAGGGTTTCTTTTTGGAAATATTTGATGTTGTAAATAACTCTACTACTACTACGACGACGACTACTACTACTACTACTAATACCAATACTACTACAACTACTACTACTACTACTACTACTACTACTACTACTACTACTACTACTACTAATACTCTATTGATGATCTTATCTCTAATTTTGTTTTAAAACGTACAATTTTTTGCAGTTCATATGGCCGAAATTGAACTATAGTCGGTTTCTATTTTCAATATTACATGTACGTAGGTACAAATATCTTTTTATAATTCACTTGCCACCGAACCCGGTGTCGATGCGACAGCAAGGTCGGGAGTCTTAACCGCTTGGCCATCTCGACACCCACATAAAAACATTGATAATATAATTATTGCCATCATTGCCATTATAACAAGTTACTGTAGCAAAATTAAATAGTAATAACAACAACAATAATAATAACAACAACAACAAACCAATTTGGCGATGTTTTCCATTGAGAAAAACGCTAATCTTTTTTTAATTGCATGAGGTTTATTGTTATTCCTATTATTATTATTATTCCTATTATTATTATTATTATTGTCAGCATCGTTATTTTCGTAGTCGCTGCTTTCAAGAACGTCCTTGCTTTGCTGCGGCTGTTGCAGCAGCTGCTGTTCTTGCAGTGCTTCAGAGTTCGCTGGACGATATTTCTGTGGTGATGATAGTGACGACGATGATGCTAATGGTGATGGTGATGATAACAATAACGGCACTCGTGGTAATGATCAGGGTTGTTATCGCTACTTAACGTCGATGGATCATCTATCGTCGCTTGAATGGAAATGTTACGCCAAAATCACTAGAGCTACTTTTGTGAACTGTTATATAAAAAAAAATTCTGCAGAAATATCAGTCATCTGTTTCAATTTTGAATGAAATCTTCGACTCTATTGTTACTGCCTTTAAGATTTAAATCGATTGTCTGAAATATTTGCAGTCAGGACACGACAAAAAAATATCATAGCATTAATGAATTATTTTATGTCCCAAGTTGAAATTTTTGTGTTTGCACTGAAACAACCAGTTTTCAACGTACATTCAAACCTCATTTGGCGGCGTGATGGCTCAATGGTTAAACGCAGGCGCCTAATCTTGCTGCTGCAGTGACTGGGTTCGAATACAAAAGAGATCCCCGCCTATCATATGCAATGTGTATGATGCGTTGTTTCACGCGTATTCATGTACGCTGTGTGTGTTTGTCGTTGAAACCTCTGAAGCAAGCGCATAAGAGAGAGAGTAACCTTTGACCTATCATTTCTCAGCTATTAACAACCCTGGTAACAATTACGATGATGCCGTTATTGCTAATGGTGATAGTGATGATAATGGTATTGGTTATGAAGATGATGATAAAAAATGAATGAATGAGTGAACTAACGAACCAATGATTGAATGAATGTATGAATGAATGAATGAGTGAATGAGTAAACTAACGAACCAATGAATGAGTGAATGAATAAATGATTAAATAGATGAATAAATAAATAAATAAACGAATGAACTAACGAACGAACGAATAAACAAATAAGGAAACCCGTTTAAACGACATGAATATAACATAGCAGCAGATCGATAACTACATTACAAATAATAATAATTATAAAAATAATAATAATATTATTATTATTAATATAAATACTAATAATAATGCAAATAAAAATAATAATAATACAAATAATAATAAAACAAATAATGCGCCAAGTGTCGTGCTTGCTATAATGATGGAGATGACTGATACGCGTTAGATAAGTTACTTGATTGGTAATAAAAAATTATAAACACCATACTCCTTCTCTCTCTCTCTCTCTCTCTCTCTCTCTCTCCCTCCCTCTCTCTCTCTCCTGTTACACACACACCCACACACACACACAAACACACACCCACACATAGACATATAAAAAAGTTAAATTTATATGAAATTACTTTCCCAAAAGTCAGGCATTGTATTAAAGTTTTTAAAATGATTTGAATTTCAGACGCGGTGGTTTTTATGCATGATGTGTGTGTGTGTATGTGAGTGAGTGAGTGTGTGTGTGTGTGTATGTGAGTGTGTGTGAGAAATAGAGTATTTATTCACGAAAATATGGTTATAACGCATGCATCGAATGAATGATAAATAAAAAAAGACTATATAAAAAGCAAAAGAGATTGAAGACGATCTAGACAAAAATTCCAAACCTAATCTACATATTATTAAGGAATGAATGAATGAATGAATGAGTGAATGAATGAATGAATGGTGTGAATGAATGAATGAATGAATGAATGAATGAATGAATGAATGAATGAATGAATGAATGAATGGTGTGAATGAATGAATGAATAGTTTGAATGAATGAATGAATGAATGAATGAATGAATGAATGAATGAATGAATGAATGAGTGGATGGAATGAATGAATGAATGGTGTGAATGAATGAATGAATGAATGGTGTGAATGAATGAATGGTGTGAATGAATGAATGGTGTGAATGAATGAATGGTGTGAATGAATGAATGAATGAATAGACGGAATGGATGAATGAATGGATGAATGAATGAATGAACGAACGAACGAACGAATGAATGGGTGACTGAATGAATGATTAGCAGTAGAAAAATATCATAATAAATATGATTCCCTATCCAAAACACCGCTAAATTAAGAAGAAAAAGAATAAAATACTTCTTTACCAATTCTATAAAGATAAAATAATAACAACAACAATAATAATAATAAAAACAATAATAGTAATAATAATAACAAAAATAATAATAATAAAATAGCAATAATAATCTATATCTATAAAAAAATGTATATGTGATAAAATATTTTAGCTAGAAATATGCCTCTGCTTATTTACCTTTAATTTCTTTAATTCATCCACCTATCATCATCATCATAATAACCATCATCATCATTATCATAACCATCATCATCATCATCATCACCATCATCATCATTACCATCAATATCATCATCATTACTATCATCATCTTCATCATCAGCATCATCATCAATATTGTTTTAATAATAACAATAATAACAATAATAATCATCACTTAATTACTGCTGGTTATTAGTAGTATCATCTAGTTGTCATCGTCGTCATCATCATCATCATCATCATCATTACGACAATCATTATCATCATCATCATCCCCAATCGTCATAACGGTGCTCATCATTTTCATCATTATCTAACATTATGTCTTCCTCATCATCGTCATCATCGTCATCATCATCATCATCATCGTTATCATCATCATCATCATCATCACCTGTAGTTTCAGGGGATTAATCATGTTGCTGTTAACAAAACATTCTCCTTCGCCTTCCAACTGTGCAATAATAATAATAATATTAATAATAATAATAATAATAAATTTTTTATTATTATACTAATACAGAAGTGGGCAAATTAGCGAAGCTATTTTATTCGGCCCGCGAGGTCTTGTTCGTCACAAAAGGTCGTCAGCCAGACATTATGACCAAAAAAGGAGCCACAAATCTTAAAAAAATTCTCCCCCGGGTCGAAAAAATTTGCTGTTTAAATACATAAGCGGCCCTTTAAAAATTAAAATATTTGTCAATGCGGCCCTCACAGCAAAACGTTTGCCCACTCCTGTGCTAATACATAATTAAAAAGCTCAATCATTAAATCATTATAGGGGTAGCATGTATACTTCGTTTCTTTTACTCCCTCTCTATATTTCCTCTTCATCGTATCTCATTCATGAATTCTCTCTCTCTCTCTCTCTCTCTCTTTCACTCTCTCATTTGTGTTCTACTTCATTCACTCACTCATTCATTACATTGTTCATCCATTCAATTATTTCTTCATTTATTCGTTTGATCCTTCAATCAATCAATCAATCAATCAATCAATCAATCAATCAATCAATCAACCAACCAATCAATCAATCAATCAATCAATCAATCAATCAATCAATCAATCAATCAATCAATCAATCAACCAACTAACATACTAATCAATCAATCAATCAATCAATCAACCAACCAACTAATCAATCAATCAATCAACCAACCAACTAATCAATCAATCAACCAACCAACCAACTAATCAATCAATCAATCAATCAACTAACTAATCAATCAATCAACCAACCAACCAACTAATCAATCAATCAATCAATCAATCAATCAATCAATCTCTCACCACTGGTTCGTCGATAAGGTAGAGAAGATGCTTGCCATGTTCATAGTGCTTGTTGTGCAGTTCTATGGGCCAACTGATGACCACAGTTGACCTGGGCACGTGAGCCTTGCCGATGTTTTTTATCTATGGTTGTTGTTGTTTTTGTTCGTTGTTTGCGTTATCTATGGTTGTTGTTGTTTTTGTTCGTTGTTTGTTATCTATGGTTATTGTTTTCGTCTGTGTAACCTATGGTTGTTGTTTTCGTTTGTGTTATCTATGGATATGTTATTCTATGGTTGTTGTTTGTGCTATCTATGGTTTTGCTTTATTTTGTTTGTGTGTGCTATCTATGGTTGAAGTCAGGGCTGGTACTATCGAGAAATCACTATCGCCGATACGATACTTATTTGGGTACTCTTCTTCGGTATCGACAACCCTGTCACGCCGAGTATCGAACTTTGGATCGCCGATACTTTTTAGATAGAAAATAATATGGATACTCGATGCCAATACTTTTGAACGTCGAGTGGATATATCTTCATGAATGATCGTTTCAATCTTTAAAGTTAAGCGCGCGTTGAAATAAAACCAAATTCGAGATTTGAAATGAAGCTCTGCCGCCTCTTGCATGCTCGTATAAAAACACTCGTCTAGCTAACGCTGTCCTCTATAGATATCTTGAAAGATTCCTGGTTTATTGAGCGGTTTAAAAACATTTCCAAACTGCTGAATTTTTTAATTAACGAAACTCCCCAACTTTAAGAGAGAAGCAGTTGGTCCATAAAATGGAAACATTCGCACTTTGTTGAAATACTTTGTTAGATGGCAATGATGAATTTAGGAAACTTCCATAGACCTCCATCCAGACCTCATCACAATCCGCTCCAGCAAGTCTTAACGCCCTTTAAATTTGATGATGTCAACAATTTATGCATTCTCACGCCTCCAACAAATAACAGTTCCACCATCACGTAGTACCGCCCAAGAAACACAAAGTATTTGTATCGACGGTAATACTCGCCAAAATGAGTACCAGTATGTATTGGAGTCGGCAAAACATTTTACAGCCAATATTGGTATCAGTGTTACGATACAATTTCTAAGTAATGGAAACAGAGGCAATGAACAGTTGATAGTCCCAATCAAAAACATTCTACAGCCGGCCCGACACATCTGTTGAGTATCGCTAGCAACCCTGGCTAAGTTGCTTTGTGTGTTTACAATTTGAGGAAAAATTACAGCTAATTATAATAATATATTCACAATCCGACGTAGCTAATTTTAATAATATATCTACGGACAGCAGTAATTTTAATTATATATGGACAGCATTGGCTAGTTATAATAATATTATAATAATACATTCTGGACCTCATTACACTCAACTATAGCAACAATGCATGCTCTGTGTTTGTTATGCATGCATGCATATATAACAAACACAGAGCACCAAAAACGGCTAATTATAATAATAAATTCATGACCTAAATACAACACTGGCCAATAATAATAACCTCATAACTATGTTTGACCTCTGACCCAACTTCATCTTCATATTTCATGACGCTCTCACCTTTTATCTCCCCCCCATAGAATACGCTTTCTGGTTCTGAATTTCTGAATGACAATGATGCGATGATAAATCATCATCAACATGGCTATCCTTAAAACCATCATCAACATCACCACCACCAACAGCAATCATCATTATAATCATCACCATCAATGTCATCACCATTATCAAAAATCAAAATCATTTTTATTCAATCAAACAAAACAAAAAGTATGAATGATTCGGAGACCAAAAAAAATAATTAATTCTTGTGGGCTCGGCCACCGTGTAACTTAAAATAACTTTTCAATGTTCTGATAATTTAAAGAGAATTGTTAATAAATTAGAATAAAATAGAATTGTTAATAGAAGAAAAATGTGATAATGCTATTGAAATTAAATTTAGCCAATTAATTATTGAAGACAGAATTGTTCAATCAATCAATTAGTTTATAAAGCGCTATTTCCGCGATGTTCAACAGCGCTCCTCAATGAATTTCGCAAACAGATGGATCTTGAGATCCGCTTTGAACTTTGTAAGTGATGGAGAATTTGTTAGAAGTGGAAGTAGAAAGCTCCAGAGAAAAGGGCCAGAAAAAGGAAAAGCAGATTTAGCAAAAGAGTGTTTAACACGAGTTAAGAAGAAGTGAGAACAAGAAGACGATCCTAAACCGGCGCGTTTAGGATCTATTAATATATCTGATAAATACTTAGGAAATAATTTAAATTGAGACTTATACATAAATGTGCAAATTTAAAAAATTATTCAATATTTTATAGGTAACCAGTGCAAGAAAAAAATATGGAGATATATGGGAAAAGAAAGAGGCACGAGCAACTAGACGAGCAGCAGAGTTAAAAGCTTTACTTAAAAGATATAGTGTAAAACCAGGAAGACCATGGTATAGCGAGTTACAATAATCAATCCTAGATAAGACTAACGAAGTAACAAGAAGGAAAAAAGTAAGATCGTCAAGAAAAGGCAAAAGTTTTATTCTACCTAAATGAAAGTTAGAACTTCCAGCAACACTATTAATCTGAGAAGAAAGAGACATACTAAAATCAAAGATAAAGCCTAGACCACGAAACATGTGAAAAACATCAAAAGTTTTAGAACCAGGTAAGATAATAGGAGGAATTGTAATAGAGCGTTTAAATTTATTAAAACAAATTAATTCAAATTTAGAAGAATTAAGTTTAAGACTATCGAGATTAAATGGAGGAAAAGAAGTATAAATATAAAAGCATATAGTTGACTAGTAAAAGAAAAATTATTAATAATACGAGGTAGTTTAGATGTATAGAGTATAAATAGAAAAGGGCCAAGGATAGAATCCTGAGGTGCCCCAAAATTAAAGTTAAAAGTAGAATTAATAAATACAAAAAAAAACGTTTACAGAAATAAGAAGAAAACTAAGATAGACAAGAATAAGTAATATTAAAAAAATTATCTAGCAGCCTCAAGAGAATAGTATGATCGTTGTTTAATTTGGAGTTCAAATTTGTTATTCGGTCGTCATTCATTGCTGGTATTTTGAGGTAACTCTTTGTCCGGCTCGCACTGTCTGTTGGTTAAAAATCCAATCTCGTAAAATAACGCCTGATGGCCAAATGTTTGGATCTCTGATTTTATTTAGGTCGTTCTTCTCAACGCATATTCTGAATGATGTTGATTTGTTGTTCTCATCTAATTTTTTCCCTTTGTTCTGTTCTTTCTTGAAACTGGGTTGCATGACAGCACATTAATATTGTTAGATTTTAATTCTTCAATTACATCACCTTTTGCATGTTCAATAATATTGCAGAGATAAAGGTAAAATTTTGGTATTTTGTTTAGTATAATTTAATGTGTTCAGAATTTTTCCCAGATATTTTATGATGTAATTTTTCAGTTTTAGGTGGCTGTTCGGTCTGTTCAGTGATGTCGCTATTATTTAAACGCAGTCTTTTTTGTTTCTACTAACCAGTGTAAATGGTAGTTCAGAATTCGCAATAGGTGAGTTTACGCCTTCAGACCAGAGGTTTGCCGGCTGTGTTTTACGCGCAGCATACGAGAGCGTACGATCGGGAACTGTATGTGCTATCGTACAAATTTTATTTAACTTGCTTAATTTCAGTTTAAGCGCTTCTATTTCTATTATTATTAGAAATATTAGAAATCGTTCTTCTTTTTGTTACTTTCAATAGATTTCATAGTTTCTAACCGCTGTATATTTATCATTTCTTTTATTTCTTTTTTATGAAATCAAAATTTATTTTAATCCAATTTTCTATTTTTGGAACTTCTTCCAAGCAACTAGTCACGTAAGTTGAACATTTACCTAATTTTAAAATATTTTGGTAAAGTCATACATCCAACCAATTTGTATTTTTTAGACGAACCACGTGTCACCAACTTTTCGGGTTTATCAATTTTCAATAGTTCAATATCAGTTTTTAAATCTTTTAAAAGTTTAATAGAAAAAAGGAATATCCTCACTTTGAAAAAAATCGCAAGTATTAGAAACAAAATTTTCCTCTTCTAGTTAACTCAAATTATTCGATAAAAATATAAAGCAATTCATTTATAACAACAGATCTCGCCATGCTTCTGTTCATCATTAAAACAGTCATCATCATCAACAACAACAACGACTGACCCCCTAATGCCAAGGTCAGTTTCGACGATGACCTCAAGTTTCAAGGTCACCTCATTGTCTTTGCTGTCCATCTCGTTGCTTGTCCTGCGTCGAAATAATAATAATAATAATATTTTTGTTGTTATTATTAATATGATTATTATATTTATTTTTTATTGTTACTATTGCCATTATAGCTTCTGTCCACTTTATTTAATGCAGAGCGATGTTATGAATAACAAATAATAATAATAATAATAATAATAATAATAATAATAATAATAATAATAATAATAATAATGGTGATAAAAATAAATAACAACAATAATAATAACAATAGCTAATCACCACTATCATCATCATCATCATCAAAACTTACGTGTTGACCATGACCTTGAGGTCGATGACCTCCTTCGAGGGCAACGCCATTCGCGGGTCGAGTCGGACCCCAAATTCGACCCTTTCGTTCGGCGGTAGGGGGTTTCCGACGGAACATTCCACGACATTCTGTTCCTCTAACTTGCTGCAAACTGTGTCCTAATCAGGTGGTGAAGATGGTGGTGGTGAAGATGAAGATGGTGGTGGTGGTGAAGATGAAGATGGTGGTGGTAAAGATGAAGATGGTGGTGGTGAAGATGAAGATGGTGGTGGTGGTAAAGATGAAGATGGTGGTGGTTAAGATGAGGTGATGATGGTGGTGGGAAAAAAGATGGTGATTGTGATGAAGATGATGCTGACGATGGTGAAGATGATGATGATGGTGAAGATGATGAGGTGACGATGATGATGAGAACAGTGATATTAAAAATGGTGGTGATATTAAAGATGATGTGTATGATGGTGGTGATGATGATGATCGACAAAAATGATGCTGATGACGATGATAAAGAAGATGATGATGATATTAATAAATAGCGACAACAAAAAATGAGTACAATGATGTTAAAAATGATGATGACGAAAACTGCATAGCAGTTCATACTACAATGATTTGACTTTTTTCAATAATCATCCTCACCATCACTACCATTCATCACCACTATCATCAAAATCTCCATTACCATTATCATCAAAAACTTCACCATCATCATCTTCACCACAATTATCATCATCATCACTATCTTCATCATCACTATCTTCATAATCACCATTTCCATCATCACCACCACCACAATCCTAACCACCATCAAAACCTTGCCACTGGTTCCTATGAATCCAAAATTAGCGGGTACAGTGATGTAGAGATTGGCCTGATGGGCGTCTTCCAACTTGTTCTCCACGGCCAGCTTCACTTCCAACTCCCTGTCCTGCCCAACTCTCAGAACGTAGTTGCTCGAGTCAGCTGACCTGTTCGTTCGTCCGTGATGTTGTGGCGATGATGGTGAACTTGTGTGGTATGGCGAAATGGTGAAGTCATGCGGTTGCGTCATGATGACGTGACGATGGTAAATAGTTATGGCGAAGTGTGATAATGTGATGATGAACACTTGTGGCGGTGATATGATGAAGTTTTAGGGTATGGTGAAATGACGAAGTGATGGGAATAAGCTAGATAGTTATGGTGAAATGTGATGCTCTGGTGGTGGTGATGGCGAAATGATGGTGATGACTAGACGATGATCCCAAATACGGTATGATGACGATGATGGATTACACATCATTACATCATACAGGTAGGTATCCAATCCATCTACCTACCTGGTCAGGTTGAGTGATGCCTGCAGTTTCAGGTTACTGCTGCACACCTCGTCATCTCCACAGTTCTTCCGGAAGTGTACCTTCAATTTCGATCAATCAATCAATAATACAATCAATCGATCAATCAATAAATTAATCAATCCATCAATCAATCAATCAATCAATCAATCAATCAATCAATCAATCGATCAATTAATCCATCAATTAATTATCAATCAATCCATCAACCAATGTCAACCAACCAACAGGCTAACTACCGCAACTCATAACCTAAACAAATTATAAAAAAAAACACTAGACTTGTTGCAACCTTGACCCAATTAAATTCGACCCGACCTACTTACCAGTAATATGTGTGACGCCTTGACTCCGACGATGACCGGATAGTCGTTGTAGTTTGGTATGGTCCCTCCTGGCTGGTAATCAATCGTCGGACCAGACTTTTCAAAGGCCTGGAAGGTCAGCTGGTAGGTCAACGGCCTCAGGTAATCTCGGATGTTGTCCTGAAATTAAGCATTAATCAATGTTCATCAATTAATTGACCAACCTACCTACCTACCAACAAACCAACCAGCCAGTCAACCAACCAATCAACTAGCCAACCAATCAATCAACCAACCAACTAACCAGCCAGCCAATCAACTAACCAACCAATCAGCCAGCCATCCACAACCAACCAACCAATCAGCCAGCTAACCAACCAACCAATCATCCACAACCAACCAACCAATCATCCACAACCAACCAATCAGCCAGCCATCCACAACCAACCATTATGAATGTAGTGATCTCCTGGCAGTTTTCCGCCAGTGTGACCTCCACCTGGCCACTGAAGTTGATGTTCAATCGTTTCTCGATATAGAACTGCGATCGAACTCTCGGTTCGGTGTCGGTTTCTACTGAATAACTCAGTAAGAGTTTAGACATCGTGCTGTTTGTTCAATTTTTGTTCATTTGTGTTGGTGTGTGTGTGTGTGTGTGTGTGTGCTATTACACATACGAGTAGTTGAACGGTAACAGCCTAACAGTAATAGTATTTATTTTGCACTCGTTGACAGACAGATAAAGAAACATACAGACATACAGATAAACAGACAAGCAGAAAAGTACACCGACAAACACACAGACTGATAAAGAGACCGACGAACATACGTCTGCATGCACAGGACGTACTTGCTTGGATTTTTAGCGGGGCTAAGTATGAAGCAGACCCTCATTGTGAAGCAGGCATTTCCTTTGCAATTTTCTTCCTTCTTCATCGGATCAACAAACTTCGGAAGGTTCTCAAATCTGAACTTTACGTTAGCCACCGGTCTAGAGAAAAATAAGAAGGCCGTATCGGAGGCATAACTACCGACCAAAATATCCGGATAACCGTTTCCGTCCACGTCAAATCCAGAACCGGCCAGCGAGGAACCGAACGCCAGAGCTTTAAACGGAGTTTTGAGATCGCCTGCGTAGATCCTTTGGGCAGGTTCAGGACTGAGATCACTCCTTCTTCCGTGAAATATGTAAATAGCTCCCTGGCCTTCATACGGCGCGCCGACGACAAGGTCTGCAGGGGTGAGAAGGTGGGGGGGGGGGGTGGAAACAAACTCCAACCGATTGGTTGTGGAGACATTTACAAACGCTACAGAAGCTTCAACATTGCTATCACATCAGATGCTATTATATATTGGATACTTAGTTATGAAATCGAAAAATGCAATTAATAGAGTACTTTGACTTTCAATGTTCCCTAACAATCTCTATTTATTATTCAAATTAAAAATATCATTATAAAGTATTATAAAATAAAATATAAAATGTTAGAAATAAAAATTTTCAATTTTTCACTTTTTTTATAAGCTTTAATATAAGTAATGAATGATTTGAAGAATTAACGACAAATGATAACCGATCAGAAAAACAAACAAACAGACAGACAAACAGCCAGACAAACAAAAATACATACATACAGACAGATAAACATAGATAAATAAACACAGACAAACATAAGGACAGAGGCAAACACACAGACAGGGAGCTATAATATATAACAGTGATCGGACAGACCATTAAAGCCATCACCATCGAGGTCACCGGCGGAGGCCATGGAGAAGCCGAACCTGGCATCCAAGCAGTTCAGCTTCTCACATTCGGTATCCATCATCTTTCGGCTCGTTATCTTCTGAGGTGTTACTTTGTTCGTTATGCCCTGGTGTGGTAAAGCGTGGTGTGGTAAGGTGAGGTGTGGCAGTGGTAAAGATGACGATGACAATAATAACAAAAAAAAAAAACAGAAACGACAACAAAAACAATAATAATAATAAAAAGAATGACGTTTACATTACCCATTACCATTGCAGTTGAAAAATTGTATGGAAAATGACTGAATGAACGATGGAATTAATAAAAAACGAATGAATAAACAAACGAACGAACAAATGAATGAAAGAATAAACGAATGCAAACGAACGAACAAATGAATGAAAGAATAAACGAATGCAAACGAACGAACGAATGACAGCTTCAACAGACCTTCTCATTCATGTAGACATATATGGCCCCGCAAATTCCCTGCTTCCTGTAGAAAGGTGCACCGACGATCATGTCATCTTTCCTGAATGAAACAACCAACTTGAAAAAATAGTACTTGGATTACTGATACTAAATTATATAAATATAATACTCAAAAAAGTAATATATATATATGTATATATATATATATATATATTGCATATATATAAGATATATAATATTGCTGTGTATGCGTTGTGAATACAACTATTGCGGTTGAATATGTGTGATACGAGTTTCCACATCAGACCTACGGATACATAGTTAAATATAAATACATATATGTACATGCAAGATACATATCGATGTATAAATCAAATATTAAGTATCACATAATACATCCACCGACGCAATGGCGGTTGTCGGATGACGCTGGGTCACAAACTGCGTGTTAATGGGTTGAAATGTATTCAACGTAGAATGATATTCATATCGTTGTGGTACACGCAGATCCTGTGGATTAACCCCAACGGCAACAGTAGGTGTGAGATCGTGATATTGGGAAAACAATTGCAAAGTGTGATCAAAGCTGTTATATTGTTTATTGAGTGAGGGTTTATGCTTGTTGATATGAAGGGCTTCTTTAATTTTGAGGCGAACTGGATTGGGTTCATATTCAAGGATTGTTGTGTTGGGATCCAATATGTTCCTTGTAAGCGGTTGATGATGTACCTGTTCCATATGGTCCTTAATGGCACCATTCTGTGTATGCATGGTGAGTCTTCTAGAAAGAGTAGTTCTCGTATGGCCGATATAACTCTCCACAACACAGTGTGGCACGGGACAAGAAAATCGGTATACGAGATTGGTTCTCTCTAGTTTGTTGGGGGGACGTGTGTTGTCATTTTTAACGATAAAGCTGGATGTTCGGTTGGTGTTGTAATAAATTATGAACTTCAGTCGGTAGCTTTCGTTGGGAACGGAGACATTGGATTTGATGATACGTTTGAGCATTGATTCATCAACTTTGTAGTTGTCATGCATTTGATTGAGATAATATAGAGGTATAATTGTTTTTGTAGAGGTTGGAGTTATATGATTATTTGTTTTGTTGATATAATGTTTTATGGTATTATCTATTAATTGGTTGGAATAGTTGTTGTTGATGAGAAACTGTTTTATGCGAATCAGTTCTGTATTGAAAATATTGATATCGGAAGAGATTTTGTATGCCCGATGAATGAAGTTATAGATGACGTTGTTTTTATAGCGGTCGGGGCAATCCGAATGATTATTTAAGACCTGACCAGAATTAGTCGGTTTAACATAAACCCTCGAAGTTAGCTGTTCTTCTTTTTCTTCAATTAAGCAATCGAGAAAGGCCAATTGTTTTTCGGTGCTAAATTCGATGGTGAATTTGAGATGGGAGTTGTTCTGAAATATATTCTGTAAGTTGTAAACATCGGTGACCTTTTCGCAAATGATGAAAATGTCATCGACGTAGCGTGCATATATTGGGGGTCTGTTGGTAGGGTCAGCAAATATCCTTGATTCGAAATCGGCCATATAGAATTCTGCGAACAGCGGTCCCAACGGAGATCCCATTGCAACACCATCAATTTGCAAATGGAGAGAACCGTCTGGAGCAACAAACGGAGTTTCAACAGTGCATAGTTTCAGAAGTTCGATGAGCAGGGTGGGAGGAATGTCAAGTTGTGGAAGTGTTGGGTGATTGTAAATGTAATTACAGATGATTTGTATGGTATAGTCGATTGGAACGTTGGTAAATAAACTTTCAACATCCAACGAAGCCATATGTCCAACGCACCGTTTGTTATCGTTAATGATATCAATAAATTCAAAACTTGATTTGACTGAGTAGGTGCGGGGAACATATGGCTCCAGAAGTTTGTTAACAGCCTTGCCAATAAATATGTAGGTGTAGGGCATTGCGAAATGATGGGTCGGAGTGGATTGTTCACTTTGTGCGTCTTAATATTCCCGTAGATGTAGCCGGGACTGTATTCGCCGACGATGGGGGCGAATTTGACAGATGATGAACATTTATTGATTTGCGCTATTAATTTGTTGGCAGAAATTTTGATATTGGTGGTAGGGTCTTTGTCGATGGTTTGAAACTTTGAGTTGTCAGATAATATATTGTCTATTTGTGTATAATAATCAATTTTGTTGATCAACACATACATATTGGACTTGTCGGACTTTCGCACAACTATGTCGGGATTGCTACGGAGGCGTTTGGCAGCCTGGAGCATTTCTGTCGACAGAGCAGGTTTATGACATGCGTCGCGATGGCGATGTGCTTCGGCCAATAGTTGGCTATGCAAATATATATACACTAAATATCTAGATCTCGAGGCCAAGATATTTAGTGACCCGACTAATAAACCACGCTACGTAGACGATATCTTCATCATTTGCCCAACTGTTACTGATATATATATAACCTACGACACATTTTCCAAAACAATTCGCATTTGAAATTTTCAATAGAATTTAGTACTGAAAAACAACTCGCGTTTCTCGATTGCCTCGTCGAACACAAAGAAGAGCAAGCAGTTAACCATCAAAGTTCCCGTGAGACCTAACAACTCTGGCCAAGTATTATACTAAATAACGCATCTGACTGTCTGGACCGTTACAAAAACAATGTAGTTTATAATTTCATCCACCGGGCATACAGAATTTCATCTGATGCTAATATTTTCAATACTACTGATTTAGCACGCATCAGACAATTCTTGATCAACAACAACTACTCAAATGGAATGATCGATGATACAATCAATAAATATCTTCAAAAAGTTAACAATCCCGTCACTCTAAACTCGCAATATATTACAACAAAAACAGCCATACCAATATATTACAGAAACCAAATGCACGACAACTACAAAGTAGATGAGTCACAAATTAAACGAATCCTTCGATCCAATATTTCCGTGAAAACTAAGACACAAAGAAGGAACAGTACTATATAACTACACTGATGATGGCAGTTGATGTCGAAAAGAGCTTTTCTGTAGTAATAACGTTATTAATAATGTTTTGTCAAAAATGTCAAATATTAAAAGTTTTTTATTTAACCTTAATAAACTTCATCAAGATGATAAAGGTCTCGTTAGAAAAATTGAGAAACTCAACTACAAGTTGAATAATGCCGAAAACGCAGTGATCTTTATAAATAATTGTGTATATATATATATATATATATATATATATATATATATACCTTCATATAACTACAACGAACTACAAAAATATTAACGCCAAACATTCGGCAGAATTTATAGAATATTGAATATATATATATATATATATATATATATATATATATATATATATATGTGATTTATAAAATCTAATGTATAAAGGGTGTAATGGTTGAAAACAACTGGTCCTGCTCTGAAGTGCACGGGTTTGAATTCAAAGAAATCCCTACTTATAATGGAGAAGTGTTTATGCATATGTATACAGTAGGTACTGTGTGCTTGTTGTAATAAGAAAGCGACCAGCCATCTAACCAACCAACCAGCCAACCAACCGACAGACCGACCAACCAACCAACCAACCGATCAATCAACCGATCAACTAACCGATCAACCAACCGACCGACCAATCCATCTAACCAGCCAACAAACAATTTTCTATTTTCAACACACAAAACCATCTTAACAAAACAAACAATAAAAACCAACCCACCCATCACTGTTGATATCCATGATGACTATCTCATGACCGAAGTAGGAGCCAAACTGTTCGCCGTGTATCGTGTGCTGATGAATCATTTGCTCATCTGAATTGTAAATATCAACCTGGCCAACCTCCTTTGACCTGGGAGCACCGGAAATGTGCATGATCTTTGACGGATCAGAACCTACGTACCCCGATCTGACCGACATACCTGGAGATCATCATTAACATTCCAATTGTACTAACACTGGTTGCCGTCCTTTGACACACTCGTCCTAAAACTCGTCCAGCATTCATACTGCTACAGTTCAAAGTGAATTTTTAAATAAATTTCATCGTGACTCGAAAAAGTCCACTTAACAAAAACAATAGAGGAGTCTAAGTCATAACCTCAAAACCGTTTTATACCGCCAGCGTGAAATTAAAACTACAAATAATAAAAAACAAAATTAAAAAAAAAATAATTTAAACACACACTGCACACACGCACACGTACCTAAATATGAGTACATGTTGGTGATGTTGGACCCGTCCGGTTTAGTGAACGGAGCGAAATGGTCAGTCTCGATGGAAATATTAAAAACATCCTCCTCATTCGTGATCACTTTTGAGATGAACCTCTTGAAGAAAGTGCCGCGCCAGTTCTTGGAGCCTGGGGCGCCCATGAGGAATGAGCCCTCCTAATTTCAACAATTTGTTCCGTCGTATAAAAAAAACCACCACACGCGTTTGATGCAGTGCTTGCGCGTGCATACATAACGCGTATGTGCGTGGTGTCGACCTTGTGGAATGGAAAGTAAAGCATTTGCAGAGACACGAAAGTTTCAGTCCAAGTATAGAATAACATGTAGGCAGTTCTGTGCTTGACAAAACTGCATTATAAAGAAACAATATAAGAACGAGCAGCAGCAGTGTGATAGTTGAAAAATCCTTATCGTGCTATCTAACACTAATACGGAATAAAATAATTAAAAAAGGTGAGTGCGGTCCCACGTTATCCCGATCTCACTCTAAGCGAGGTGTGGGATAAAATGAAGTCTCAATCGAAATTAACGCCCCCACTAGAATGCAAGAAGAGAACGACGACAACTTCCGTCTCACTCTGATACTTGTTCAATTCAAACAAACGACTTAGCCCGATAGACTATAAACATCGGGGTTTCCACCCCTGACTGGCTGAGACGGGGCAGCTAGCCTACACGTGCAGATTCCATCACCTACTACTTCGATCGTTGCACGGAGAATTAAATAAACGACAAAGAATGAATAAATAAATAGAAAAATGAATATTAATAAATAAATAAATAATAATAAAATAATAAATAATTATAAATAAATAATAATAAATTACTGACAGGCGAAAAGTCAGCACTGGTACCAGCCTGGCAGAAAGCGTACTCTGTTCCTGGTATGATGCCTGAGCGGGCATAATTATTTAATTAATAATCATAATTAGGTAAAAAATGTTTCAGTTACACCTTATTATTTATAATTAGAAAGATAATTTCAATGATTTCAACTACTACATATGTAATAATAACTCAATTATAATTATGAAGATAATTGTAGTTGGTTATTGATAATAATTATCGTTTGTAATCATAATAAATATAATTATCATTTTATTATCATTATAATTAACCTTTCACGATCCTCTCCTTATCATTTTTTAGACCTATAAATACCGACAGCAAACACACAGTGTCCGATAAGCACACGCGAATTATCGCATCACACACACATTGCATGTGATAAGCAGGGATCTCTATGCAATCAAACCCAGTCACTGCAGTCTGCAGCATCAATGCCAGGCAGCTTAACCATTACACCATCATTCAAAACATTACAACTAAAATTTAATTAATTATCAGCCAGAATTATCAAAATTAAAATAAAAGTATTATAATCACTCTGGCAGGGTATCGTCTGCGACTCGAACTCCAAGCTGTTGCTCAGTTTGATGCAACGGCCGTGGCCACTGTGGCTGGCTATCAGGCGCTTGTGCAGGTGCCCACACACCTACGCACGTTTAATTATTATTATTATTATTATTACTAATTAATTAATACAATTGTTATTTTATTAACGTGGTTATTATTGTCGTAATTATTGTCGTAATTATTTTAATATGAATATAGTACAGTGAATGTTGCTGATGGTTCTCTTTCTAAAAAGTTTTGTACTCTTATGGTAGGGTATGATTTTGCATTATTCGTGTTCATTAAATATTCAATACTTAATTTATTATTGTTTATTCGTTGGAGATTTCTTTTCATTCTCATGATTATGCATGTTTTCTGTATTTTGACACGAATTTTGATGTTACTGTGTTTTTTTGGCTGGTGTGTCGGAGTCGGATGAAAAATTGTCGACTCGAATTTCGACATCGACTCACGACTCAGACTTCGGCCCCTCAAAGAAATCCGACACCAAATAGGGGTAAAAATTCACCGACCCCAATTCCCGACTCCTGGTTTCAAATTCCAGAGCAACTTTTGCATCATAATTTCACCTTATTATCAATACTAAATAAAAAATACTTTAGAAATCACACAAAATCAGTAAATGTACTTGTTTTTCTTAGTAAAATTACTTAATTTATACGTTTTAAAACACGCTGAAAAAAATTGAACTTATACAAAAACACTTGAAACAGTTAATGGAATTGTTTTTCTCAGTAAAATTGCTTTATTATTATGTTTTAAAACATACTAAAAAATATAATGTGATTTTATTAACATAATTAGCATTTATTTTCAGTATTGAAGATGATTGCTCATCGCTACATATGTATATGCATCCTCTAAAGAACACAATCCTAAAAAAAATTTTTAGAAATTTTTTTTTAAATAAATAACAATTTTCGTCGACTCCTAAAAAATCTGACTCCGGCCCTTTAAACAATTCCGACTCCGACAAAAATCTCCAACTCTGACCGACTTCGACACTGGTTTTGGGTGACCGTACAAGCTCATTGAGCTTCTGTGTCTCCGTGCCTAGTACTAAAATAAATAAATAAATTAATTAATTAATTATCATCATCACCACCATCTGCAGCACCATCATCACGTGACTTACAAAAAAAGGTGAATCGGGATGAAGATTATTGGAGCCTAAGGACACACCCATCCAGCTATTCTCTATCTCTTTCATCAGAGAGTCAAGATAAACTGAATAAATTAATAATACGTTAGCCAATCATAGATTAGAGGAATGAATAAATTAATATTTAATTAGCCAATCATAATTAGAAGAATGAGTAAACTAATCAGTTCTGTGTAACCTTTTTCACGTTGATCCATGACCAATTCACACGAATGATGAATGAATGAATGAATGAATGAACGAATGAGTGAATGAATGAATGAATGACTGAATGAATTGACCAATCATAAATTAGAAGAATAAATAAATTAATATTCATTCAGACGAGAGATCAGTTCGGTTTAGAAATTAAGTTTAGAATGTTCAATCCATCTGACAGGGTGACGGAATTCGATTTACAGACTAAAAAAATTAAATAATTAATTAATAATGAACTCTTGCTAGTAAGATATTAGATTGAAAAACCTTCAGAAACTAACAAGTCAATCATCATCACCTCCCCCCCATCATCCATCATCCATCATCTTCATCACCATCATCATCATAACCGACCAACACCAGCATGACAGTTATAAGTCATTCTTTCTCTCTCTCTCTCTCTCTCTCTCTCTCTCTCTCACTCTTTCTCTCTCTCTTTCTCTCTATGATCTTTCATTTTTCCATTTTTTATTTTAAGAGAAAGATTGATGCTTCCTTAATTGGACAACAAAGAAAAAATCATCATCATCATCATCAGCATCATGAAGAGTCATCACCACCATCATCATCAGCAGCAGCATCATCATCATGAAGAGTTAAATTATGACTAATCATCATCATTGTCGTCGTCGTCATCGTCATCATCATAAACAACAACATTATTATCATCATTCATTCATCACTTCATTCATCCATTCATTCATCCCTTCATTCATCCATCCCTTCATTCATCCATCCATCCATTAAGTCACATACTCATTCGATCATTAGCTATGTTATTTATTAATTGTTCATTTTTTTTATTTCTCTGATCTTTCATTCATTCACTCACTCACTCACTCACTCACTCACTCACTCACTCACTCACTCACTCACTCACTCACTCACTCACTCACTCACTCACTCACTCATTCATTCATTCATTCATTCATTCATTCATTCATTCATTCATTCCTCTATCCATCTGAAACAGGAGCATTTAACATTTTATTATTAGCAGTAAAAAATCCATTACAGTACATAAAACAGATCAAAACGGTAAGGGCATGATGATGATGATGATGATGGTGGTGATGATGATGATGATAACCAAATGGTGATAATGATGATAACCAAATGGTGGCGACGATGATAATGATAACCAAATGGTAATATAATCATAATATAAAAAGAAGAAGAAAAGAGGAAGAAGATGAAGAAGAAGAAGAAAGAGAAGGAAAAGGAGAAGACGAAAAAGAACAAGAAGAATAATAATAATAATAATCATAATTATGGTGACAACCACAACAATAATAATAGCCAAACATTCTCTATTTAATTAAAACTAGAGTTGATAGATAGACGGAATTATGTTAATAACATCACCGAATCACTCATCATCTCACACATGAAATATGCAGCTCCCTCCTGATCTGGTTTCGCCACGCAACAACAACTTCAGCAGCTACAATCTCTCATCAAAAAATTAATTCGCTTCAACTACCTACCTGCATCATATCCTACCGTCACTCAGATATTTAACACACTCGATTCAAGGCTGTTCAAGAAAATAGAAAATAACAACAACCACGTCATCCATCCTCTACTACCACCCACCAATCAAAACTACAACACACAACCTTCGTCAGCGCAAACATAACTATCAAGTCGTCACCCAATCTACATACCAGGAAAAGACCTTCATCACAAGACACCTCAAACACATTAGCACTTAAGAAAACTTCATCATTACTGAACTAGTTTTTACTTATTGATCACCTCACTTTTACCGATCACCTCACTAACTCACTAAGTCATCATTTAGTCTATTAATAAGTCACCAAATATATTAATACTCATTAAACTTTTTCACACACAGGCCTAGCCTTTATCTATCGATCACCTGACTAACCCACTAAGTCATCATCTAGTCTATCAATTTGCCGTTACTTCATTTTATATTCCATCGTCAATTACTTTTCTTTTATTTGTCTTATTATTATTTTTTTTTTTATTCTAACATATTTTATTTTTCATGTTTTATCATTTCTCTTCCTCACTTTTTGTATTTATTTTCTCACTTATTTGTTTAATTTTGTTTCACTGCCTTGCATGTTGTTACAGTTTCTGCGTCTGTCGGATCCTGATTTTTAAAGAATAAAAAAAAAAAAACATAATTGCATACATAAACATTCCATTCGACCATCTACACATTCACTCATTCATTAGTTCGTTCATTAGCTAATTAGTTTATTAATTAATTTATTCATAGTATTAATTATTTGTTTATTGATTGATTAATAACTAACTAATTACTAACTTAATTAATTAATTTATTTATTTAATTATTCACGCAGTCATTCACGCAATCAATCATTCATTCATTCAATCAATCAATCATTCAATCATTCAAAAATAGTTGCAGGTTCCTTCATCAATTCGTTGCATATTCTTTTATTAAATAACACATTAGCTCATTCATCCACACATTCAATCATCCATCCATCCATCCACACATTCATTCATTCATACAATCATTCATACAATCATTCATACATTCATTCATACAAATATTCATTCTTCCATCAACGCCACATTCATTCAATCATTCAATCATTCATTCATTGAATCAATCAATCAATCAATCAATCAATCAATCAATCAATCAATCAATCAATCAATCAATCAATCAATCAATCAATCAATCAATCAATCAATCAATCAATCAATCAATCAATCAATCAATCAATCAATCAATCAATCAATCAATCAATCAATCAATCAATCAATCAATCAATCAATCAATCAATCAATCAATCAATCAATCAATCAATCAATCAATCAATCATTCATTCATTATTCATTCATCAACGCCCACATTCATTCATTCATTCATTCATTCATTCATTCATTCATTCATTCATTCATTCATTCATTCACATAGGTAAAGAACCACGATTCAAAAAAGCACTAATGCATAAAATTTAAATTTATTCATACAAGTATAAATCAGTGTGAAATTACAAACCAGTCAGTCAACTCAACGTTTATTCGTTCGTTCATTCGTTCATTCATTCATTCATTCGTTCGTTCGTTCGTTCATTCATTCATTCGTTCATTCATTCATTCATTCGTTCTTTCGTTCGTTCGTTCATTCATTCAGTAACGAATCCACACGTTTAATTATGCATCCATTTGCTCATCCTTTTATAAAGTAGCATAAACAACCGACCACTCACTCACTCACTCACTCACTCACTCACTCACTCACTCACTCACTCACTCACTCACTCACTCACTCAACCACTAACTCACTCAACCAGCTCAACCACCATGACATATAAATAAACAATCCTCCTTAATAGCATCTTCCACTTGCTGTAGTTGTTGGTTTTGTGTCCTCTCTCTCTCCCCCTCTCTCTTTCTCTATGTCCCTCCTTTATCTCTTTCAATCTCTCTTCTTAACCCGTTCTTTCACTTTCGTGCTTTCCTCTTTTTTTTCTCCCAAACAAACCTTCACAAACCATTGGCTTCTTTAATATTCTAATTGTTTCTTTATTTCCCTAAACATAACATTCTCTCAATCTCTCTCTCTCATCTCTCTCTTGCTCTCCCTCTTCTCTCTCTTTCTCTCTCTCTTTCTCTTTTGCTCACACCCCCCCCACACACACACACGCACACACACACAAAACAATCATATAAACTTAGACACAAACAAACAATCTGTTTCTTCTTTATTTTTCAACACATTTAACCATCAACCT